CCACTGACTGTGCCAGTCTTGAAAAAAGAAAGTCTCTAACAAACACAGTCCTCACAATTTTCAGAAGGATGGGAGACATTTCTTTAGATGCATAGAAACCCATAAGAAGATTAACAGTTTCTTTAACAAGCCCAAAGATCCCCCCCCTCAAGTGCTATGTACCATTATCAGAGAATAAAAAGCCTTATTTATTTCATTCAACAAATATCTACTGAGTACCTCTGTGGTCTGGTCACTATTGTAGGTCTTGACAAGTACAGCCATGAGCAAAGCTGATCAAATCCCTTCTCTCAGTAGATATATAAATAAAGATATAGGATTCCATGTGATGACTTGTAGTATGTTGGAAATGAAATAGAAAGCATGGAAGGTAGACTGGAGTAGGGATTCCATTTAAAACAGCGTGAATGGGCAGGTCTTGTCAAGAAGATGGTCATTTAGGTGATATTTGAGCAATGATCATAGAGACTGAAGGGATGAACTACATGGGTATCTGGGGAAACAGTGTCCCAGGTAGAGGGAATAACAGGTACAAATGTCCTGAGGCAGCAGTGTGGCCAGATATTGGAGGCACAGGAAAGAAGCCGACGTGGCTAGATAACAGTGAGTGAGCAAGAGAGAGAGAAACAGAAAAGAAACTAAAGGTGTATTGAGGAGCTAGGTTATGTAAGGCCCTTGGAGGTCTTTTAAGACTTGTGTTTCTACCCCAAGAAAAACAGAAAGCCATAGTGGGCTTTTAAATCAATGGATGACATGGTCTTATACATGTTTTAAAGATATTGCTCTAACCGCTATGTTGAGAATTTTTTAGAAACTGTAAACAGAAAATTCTTCTTTGCCTTGGAAAACATTGAGTTCATAAAACTGATATACAGGGATGGGCAGAAGGAGGTTTCCAGTTGTCTATATGAAAAATATTACAATAATTAATAAATAATACAAAAATAAACTTTTGTGTACTCACAGCTGTAACCTACTTTTGCCTTACTCTGTATATCAACTGAGAAAAGAAATTCCTTTTCCTTTGTACAAAACAAAAAATGTGGCAGCCTTCTCATTTGAGCATTTGGCTGAAAAATGGTGGTGGCATAGGAATAGACCCATACACCCTCTCTCCCCCGGTCACCCTGGTGACCAGTTGTACACACTGAGGAGGCAGTTGGTCAGGATTAGTTGCTTCCTTCCCACACTGGAGAATGAAAGGAAGAGGTAGGCCTCAGGAGCTTATTATTAGCAGATGCAAGGTGTACTACTCCCACTAATCAGCTTACTCTTAAGAGCAAGGGAACAGTATTTTTATTAATAAAAATAAGATTTTCCTACTTCAATTACATTCTCTAAAAATATATAGCACAATAAAATGCAAAATCTCAACCTGACACACAAGGCCTCATCAACACAGCCCTGTTCTTTCTCACGTTTTCCATTTTTTTCTGGACTCAGACAGGGAGCTCCAATCAAACCAAGCAGCTCCGCTCTGTTTCTGTGTTCATGCTACTTGCTACACTTAAAATGCTTTCCTGGCTCCCATTTTTCCTGGTCCAAATCATACCCAAGATGAAGCAATCAAATGAAGGTGAAAGAGCAAAAATTAAAGCAAAAAATGTTGGGTGACCCCTTGAATTTTGGTTGCACCACTTCAAACTTTCTTTTCCTTTCCTGCCACTGCCTACCTCACGGACGTGTTGTACACCAGCTAGACGATACATGGGGAAGTCCCTGCAGACTGCAGAAATAAAAACCACGTTGATTTACTTAGTCAACAAATATTTATTCCACTGAAAGGGAAAGGCTGTGGAGCCTAGAGAGAATGTGGGAAGATATTTAGGAATAAGAAAACTCAGTGGTAAGTACTGTCATGGAGTGGGCCTATGGCTGCCTGTGGGTTCTCTTCTCCACTGCACCTGGCCATGTGGTGGGAAGTAATCAGTTCCACCCCTAACATTGGGGGCAGGGCCTGGGGCAAATGTAAAAATGGAAGCCCATATTCTATATGTCACATACCTTCATAATCACCAAATTACAAAACTATGGTCTTTTTATATCACTTGAAAGTCTGAAAAATAGCAAAGGTGGCTGAATTTAATCACTGTTACACATTTGGTATTCTGTTTATAGACCGGTGTGATATGTTGAGTCATAAAGACAAACATTAATAAATCACCATACATTCCACTAAATTTATTTTTCTTGTCCTCGTTTTGACAAAATCATCAATGATGTGCTGTAAGTATAAAATATACACAGTTTGAAGACTTGCTACCAAGAAAATGAATGTATATCTCATTAATAATTTTGTATTGATCACATATATATTTCAAATATATTGAATTAAATAATATTTAAAATTTTCAAAACATACATAGCACACATTTATTTCACATGTTTAAGATAAAACTGGACATTGAAAAATCTAAAGCTAATTTGAGATAACCCTTTTTCATTTTATTTCTGAGTCAGGGGAGATGATAGAGCATTCTTTGGGATCACCGGTCCTTCAATTCTTTCCCTAAACAGACAGAAGAAGAACATATCAGGAACCAGGGCAGGAGGTCAAGAACCTGGCTCAAGATTTGAGGCTTTGATTCAGTCAAAGTCCCCCTTTGGCTATGCTGAGCCCTGGTTCGTCCCTACCTATGGAGTTATTGTGAGCTCCTGATCACCGCTGTGGCTGTGTAGATGGAGGCAGGAAGGACTCCAAGTCAATACTGGTTCCATGAATGGAAGAGCCTGCATTCCCTGGAGCATGGCAGGGTCTCAGAATGCCCAGAAAACCAGGCCCAGAAAAACTTTCTTCTTCACAGAGAGACCTGAAGTAGTGAAAGAATTTCCTTCTAAATTAAAGTCATTGAGTAGCTTATGAAATCAAGGACTTCAGAGTTCCCTGAAAACCTGAATTTAAAATGTAACTGAAAGTGATTTATAGTCTATCAATAAGTTCTACATCTTTTCTTTTTCCTTTTCTTTCTTTTTTTAGAGATCGAGAAAAGAAGGGAGAAGGGGAGGGTCATACGTGCCCCAGCCGGGGTCCAAACCCACAACCCAGGCATGTGCCCTGATTGGGAATCCAACCAGAGAAACTTCAGCCCTGCAGGGTTATGCCCAGCCAACTGAGCCATGCCAGCCAGGGCTTGGTTCCACGTATTTAAGCATAACAATGCTTTGGATTATTATCTGGCTAATTTAAGTAAAGCTAGCAGATTCAGGTAAGTCTAACTTGACTTAAATCTGTCTCTTTTTAATCTGAATTACTAAGAGTGTGGAAGTAACCCAGGGATTTAGGACATTGAGATGTGTGAGCACAGTATAGAGCCTGGGGCTTGATCACAGGGGCAGGGAGGGGAATTTCCTTCCCACAACAAGGAGAGCGTTTGGGAGAAAGGTGTTGAGGTATCTCTGTGGGGTCTGTACTTCTCATGGAGCAGCAGGGGTAGCAGGGAGACTAAGGGTCAGTTCACCTTCTCAACATAGGCCCCAGAGCAGAGCAAGATTAACACTGAGTGGGAAGAAGCTTAAAGTGGTTAAGAGGAGAAAAGAAAGCAGGAAATCTGCTTGCTTTCTTTCTCCTCCTCCTCCCTTTCGCCCTGTACAAAACACATACACACCACCCTCATGACAGAGGTATTTCCTGAGTGTTACAATACTGGGGTCATATCCAGGACACAATCTTGTTTCCATCCAAAGGCACACAGGCAAGAGGACACCACCCTGCTGCCCCCACATTGTCCTTAAGAAAGTGGTAATGAGGTACTTCAAAAAAAATTTCATGGTAGAGTGTACAAATACCCTCACATTGGTGACTGGGGCCACTGAAAACAGGCATCAGGCTCAGGACCTTTGAACAGGCCAAGTCAGAGGCCGGGAGGCCAAGCAGCCAAAGATGTGGCAGAGAGAGAGAATTAAAAGCTGTTCATGCTGAGTACCTGACCAGCTGTTATAAGAGAATGTTTGTCCAAGTGGGAGACAAAGGAGTGACACAATTGATCTTTGAACCAGTGAGATACAGGACTCCTCTGCCAGAGCTGTAAGACCTGGGGTGTAGCTCCAGGCAGGTAGAGAAGGGATTAAGAGGAAAAGGATAAAATCACGAACGCAGCAAACTGTGGCTAAATGTAACAAAAACATTGCTATTGGAATCAGAGTTCAAGTGGATGTTAACTCAGAAAGGCAGGGCAAACTTCCTCCCTGAATTTTTTGTCTTTAAATTTGTGTCTTTAAATTGTGTATCTTTAAATTTAAACAGTTTAGCCTCCTTGTTATTCTTTATTCTGGAGGACAGATGCCCATGTACATGTTGGTATTTGCCTTTTTTCATTATTTATTCAGCAAAAGTTTCACTGGCTTTTTTCTTCTAACTTGGGTCTCAGTGAAAAACAAGCACAAGAAACTTTTTAAATCTTTTGACTCATATCTTTTTACCATCTAATGTAAAAGTATTTCTTCTAATACACACTTTTGAAAGAGCTGATATTTGCATGAATAGTTAGTAGCCTTTGATTATGGAGAATATATATATATATTTTAAATTCCAATCTAAACAGAGCAATTTGGGAAACTATGTTAAGAGCATTTACTAAATTAAATTGGGACAAAAGATACTTGATCATTATTAAACCAGCTACAGCAGAGATATGAAATTGAGAAGATAAGTCATTCTGCACGTTATCAAAAAGAGGTCATGGTTCCGGACAACTGCCAATCATTTTCAGTAAAGTATTTTAAATCTGAGTTTTACACATGCCTGAGACATAATTTTATCATTGTAAATGGTTATTTTAAATTCGAAGGAAATATACATCATCGATTCATTGACTTTCATTATAAAAAACAGTAAAAACATGTATGTATTAAAAGGCATAAGTAATTATACTGAAGTGCTACTGATGTGTTTGTTTATGTGATGAAGTGTGTTCTTTCCTCTTTCCTTTGTTTTCTAAATTTTACAATTTCTTCTATGAATGTAAATAGCAAACGTGAAGAGAAGGAAGAAGTATTCTTACCTAGCCACAGTCATTCACCTGGAAAAGTCTGGGATTTATATCAGTTCAGTAGTTTCTTCTTTCTTGTCTTTTGGGACTGCTGAGAAACCCAGAGGAAATCCTACACCTCTGAAGGTCGGTGTGTCGCCGCAAAGGACAACCATGGAGTTTTCCTGGGCCTAGAGCCTGGCACTCTGGTGTTCTCAAGTCATCCCTCTCCCACTGCCCTCTGGACATTCCAGTCCTCCACTTCTCCCAAACCCCCTGCTTCACAGCCCTTCCTGTTTTTAACAGTTTGCTTCACCCACTTAAATGAAAGAAAAAAAAATAGAGCTATTTTGCAAGAACAGGATCAACTTTCTACATTCACACCAAGCCACCCAGCCTTGACTCCCTCATCCTCTTAAAGGCTGACTACCTCCTGCACCTCCTACCTCGAGAAGGAACTTCCCTCCATCCAAAGTTCCCTCTCTTGTTTCTGTGTCCTAAATTGTCCCTCACTACAGTCTCTTTCCTTTAAATATGCTCTCTTTAAAACATGTCCCCAACTCAACGTGCCACATTCCCCAAGTCATCTCTCTTATTTCTTCCCACAATCACAATTTCTGTAGCGTTCTTTGTCTCACAAACATTCTTTGATGTGCATCATTCTGGCATTCATGTATATTAAGCCTATGAAATTATTCTTTCTCAGGATCATCAGTAATTTCCTTATTGGAAATAATATGGAAAGTTATCAAGTTATACTCCCCTCTTTGCAGCGTAAGTCTTGAAAGCACTGACATTGCCTGTCTTCTTGAAAGATTTTCTTTGGCCTCCATGACATGCAGCTTCTCTGCTTTCTTTCCTGACTTCAGACTTCTGCCCTTCAGTATGCCTTGTCTTCCCTCTGATTTTCCCTTAAGTATAGATGGCCCACAGTTTTCAGTTCTCTTCCTTGTGTACTTTTTGCATTCATTCCAGGAAATCTCACTCACCACTATGGGTATGATTAAGATTTTTACCTCAGTTTTTATTTTTGATTGCTCCCTATATATGCATTATGTCACCTTCCCCTAAAGAGATTTCTGTATACACCAGAACCACAGGGTGGAACAACAGATCTTGCAACTCAGCAAGCATCCAACTGGGTGGGTGAATGAAGGAGGGTTATGCTTGCTTTCCTGTGAGAAGGGACAGAAGAAAGGAAAATTTTTACAGTGTGAAGAGCAGGACTGAACTAAGACGGCATTAGTCCTGTCAACTAAGTTGGCAATGAAAGAAGCCATATTTAGAGTAGTGTACAGTAGAGCAATGACTCAGAGGGATGACACAATCTCTTGAACACGCATAGTACAACATGGTCAACATGTGCTCATCTGAAGGGCAACACCACCCTCTCAGAGCATACTCAGTAGAAGGACATAAACTACATGTGCCTCTTGAGGTTGCACAAAACAACATGTGTTAATCAGGGACTGATGCAAGATTGCATCATACAAGAGTATGAAAGCAAAGACCTTTGACAGACAGCAGAAACAGACTAGAGGAGCTGCAATGGCCAAGAGATGGCCACTGCTCTGATGCACCCGGCTCTAGCTGACTCTGAAGCCACCATAGACTCTGCCTTGCAAGACTCTGGCTGGCTGCCTCCTGGACCTGGACCTGATCTGAACTCTTGGGACTCGGTTTCATTATTCCCCAGTTCCCTTGTGTGGTGTTATTGCTGATTGTTTCTGAGTGATTATTTTTGTTATTAGGTTATTATAGATTTGGATTGAGCCTGCATTAATAAAAGCCGAGTGAAAAGCATAGTCACTTGTGTGGACTCACTTTCATTCCTTGATGCCAGTGTTGCCTGTAGAGCTCATGGCCATATAGGTGGCCTGGGCCTCCTGTCTGTGACAAAGGCCAAGTTATAAGACAGACTATAGCACGGATACTTGTAAAGTGAGAGTATCACTTGTGATAGACTGTCAATTTTCTCGCACCTTCTAACTTGTTCTAGACAAGAGAGACTGAAGAGGTTGCACTCTGCTCAAAAGTCCCTTTTTAGCAAATCTCACCTTGAGGGTATTTAGTGTCATTTGTTCCAAGACATGAGCAATCTCTACAGTACACATTCATTGGAGCAAGAAAGGGTCTCAGTCATGTTATGTATTAATTTATTCAACAAATGCTGAATGACCTCAAAGATATTCACAATCAAGTGGGAAGGCACATATTAAACCAGTAATTACACAGGTTATTATTTAATTATACTCTATTAACTTCCTAATAAGGAAAAATACAGGATGTCAAGAGCACATAATAGAGGTCTTTGTCTAGTCCAGGGCACCAGGAAAGGCTTCCCTGAGAAAATGTCAGTTAATTGAAAGGTGGAGGAAAAGTAGGAGTTAATTAAGGAACCTAATGGGGAAAATACCTTCTGAGTAAAGTGATCATAAAGGTTATCACGAAGCTTCACAAGCTCTGAGAATTGAAAGTAGGCCAGTGTGGCAAGAGTTCATTGACCAAAAAGAAGAAAGGCTAAAGAAAGAGTGTTATAGACATGCTGGCACCAGATCTTGGAAGAGCCTGCTAAGGATGCTGGATATTACCCTATAAGCAGTGGTAAGTCTTTGAAGAATTTACATCAAGCTTGGCCTTATTTGCAGTTTTAAATACAGATTTCAGATGTTTTGTTATGAATACCAACTAAACCACTAATATTCTAGCTCTAAAAATGCATATCAAATGCAGAAATACATTTACTATTGTGTTATTTCTTTTTTCTAAGTCCTACTAAGTTAAATGCACAGCTCACCATTGCTTCCTCCATGAAGCCTGCTCTGAGCATTTCAGAGACCAGTGATCAACCCTTCTGTGAGTTCTTAGAGCCATTGCAGCCATGCAGTCTTTTCCCAGAACATTAGCTCTAGGAGTCAGGAATTTCTGTCTGCTCTGTTCACTGATATATCCCAATCCACACACAACAGGACCTGGACATAAGTGGTGTTCAGTAAACATTAGTTGAATGAGAGAATGTACTGACTGAGTAAGGCTTTGAGATTCAGGACCTGTAATATCTCTTTTTGAAATTAATTAAATTAATTTATTATTGGCTGAAAAGCCAACAAAATTTTGTTAAACTTAAACACATGCATATTTGTTTAAGATCTATATATCTTTATAAATGTTCTGCTTTACATATAATGTATATATAATAAATTTATGTATATGTTAAATGTATATGTATTAATTTAAAGCAAAACATTTCAAAGGTACAAATTCACAGAACTGAAGGAAAAACTGAATAAGATTCTAAGCTATAGGAACTAAGGCCTCTTTGGGAATTGCAGTCATAGGCACTCTTGCACGGTAATCTTAGGGTTTTGTCTTATGTCCATGTGTGACCACGTCAGGTTTAAATTATTAAGAGATGGTGATTTGCATAGTTTAAACGATATGCATTGCTTGCCCTCCACCTTTTTGAATTTGGGATGAGAGAGGGACCATTTCCAATAGGAAGAGCAAGGGTGCCATTAACATGCCAGAAAAACTGACAAGGAAACATTGCAAAAAAAAACAGATGTCTAACATATTCACTTTACTTTGACTTAGAGTCTCTTCCCTTAGTGAAGTGCTATAATAGACAACAAGATAGAGGAACAAATAGGCTTCAGTACAAGAAAACTCAGAACAGTAGAAAACTATAATCTGTATTTATGTAAAATAATATGTATACATAAATTAAATAAATTTATTTATTATAAATTTATTTATAATTTTATATTGTTCATGTTGAAATGTAGGTCAATGTGATGGATTCTAAAAATGGCCACAAATTCTTTCTCCTCCTGAACCCATGTCATTGCAATTTAACTTTACAGATCTTCCCATCAAAAGGTGGATCTGTTTTGCATCTTTGATTTGGGTATTAGCAAAGGAGACACAAGCAGCAGAAGGTTAGCAAGCACTTGCACCTTGGAGCTTGCCTATAAGAACAAGCCCATATGGCTAGTCTGGTCAAGTATAACTGGTCACATAGAGAAGAGACAAGGGTGATAGGTCACACGAAGAAGAGACAGTGGAAGCCTCCCAGACCAACCCCCAGCCAACCTGGGCTACCTGCAGACACAAAAGACCTGCAGACCAGCAGGACCCAAACAGAATGCCAGGAGCCCAAAATCAATGCTTGTTGTTGTATGGTGCTAAGTTGTGGTATGGCTCTCTATGAAGCAAAATCTGACTCATATAATCAGTGAATTGGTATTTTAAGGCTAGGAAATAAAAGTGAACAAAAGCAAGTAGAGCAAATCCAACCACAACCATGTGTGAGGTCTGTCCAGAAAGTATCCAGCCATGTACAGCGAAAAATGGAGACCTTTACTGAGGAAGATACAAGATACAAGAAACATTGTAAATAAGACAATGACACCTCAGTTTTCTTCAAAGTAGGCACTTTGGGGCCTCACATAGTTCTCCTAGTATCTCTTCCATCATTCAAAACACTACAGAATCCTTTGTTGGAAATCACCATCAGCTGCCCGGCCATGGTTTCCTGAATCTCATTGATGTTCTGAAATATCTTCCCTTTCTAAGGTGATTCTAGTTTTGGGGAAAGTCAGAATCTGCAGGGCACCAAATCTGGGCTGTATTGGGCCTGAGTCACCTGTGAGATTTGATGTTTGCCTAAACACTCTTCACAGGATGTGATGCATGAGTGGGCTCATTGTCATGATGAAGCTGCCAATCACCAGTTGCCTAGAGCTGCAACTGTTTTCATCCTACTTCATCTCTCAGCCAACAAAGAACATTGAGGTAGTACTCCTTTTTAATTGTTTGGCCTTGGAGGGGTGTCCTCACAATGCACACCTTCCCAATCAAAAGACACAGTTAACATTGTCTTGATCTTGCTGTGACTTTGCCTTACCTTCTTTGGGTGTGGAGAACCAGGTAACTTCCATTGGGACTATTGGGCCTTCGTTTCCGGATCATAGCCATAGACCCACAATTTGTCACCAGTTATGACCTTCTTGAGAAAGTCTGGTTCATTGGTAGTGGTTTGAATCAAGTCATTTTCAACTGTAGCATGATGTTTCTTCTGCTCTGATAGCAGAAACCACCGGACAAGATTTGCCACATGTTTCATGCCAAGATCCTGCATCGAATCTCAGAAACAGTGGTTTTTGGAATCCCGATCAGCTTCTAGTTCTTGAACGGTCAGTCGCCAATCTCTGTTGATTGCAGCCTGTACACATTCAACATTCTCAGGTGTTCTGCTTATT